TCTGGTGAAGACTCGGATTTGGACTTTGATGTAGATACATTTGAGAAAAAAACCAAACAGTCAGCTGCCAAATTATCAAAGTCTAATAGGACTCCATCAGAAGTGGATGACAGGTTTTTTAAACTGTCAGAAATGGAGGCTTTTTTGGATAACATGGATAAAAGAGAAGGAAAGGAGAGTGTAGAGGAGGACATAGACTACTTTCAGAATTTGCCATCTGATGATGACGAGGAACTCAGCTTTGATAAACCAGTAGGGCTGAAAAAACAGAGAAAGGTAATGGTGTAACAGACTTTTCCTGAGTCTTTATTTATTTTTTAAATTATTTTAATTTGTTGCATCACGTTTATGGACCCCCCAGGGTGTAAAACTTTGGGTCTAATAAACAGATGAATGCAGCATGATTGTGTAACACCGAAGTATCAAAATCAAAAATGTATTCTAAGTATTCCATTTTATTTCAAATTTTTTATCTTTGTGTAAACATGAATTTAAACTGACTTCTCATGAAACTCTGTCTTTGTTTTACAGAAGAAAAGCTCCAGAGATATGAAATACAAAGATTTCTTTGCTCCAGTGGATGGAGAGCCTGAACAGACGGATCCAGATGAAGAGAAGGAACCAGAATCTAATGATGATTATGAGGGAGAAGAAGATGATGACGGTGAGCTGGAGGAGGAGGATGAAGAGGATATGAATGAGGAAGATTTTGATGTGGAGGAGTAAGTCATGAGGATGGATACCTGCTGTCCTCCATTGTTGTGTGTTAGCAGAATATAGTGTTACAGCATTTTCTTTCAGAGATCTAATGCATTTCACCTCTAAATATAGGGATGACACGGGTGATAGAGCAAGAAATGCATTACGCAAGGTGACCTTTGACCTTCCTGATGACAGTGAGGGTGAGGATGTGGAAGATATTCTAGGTGGAAAAGCCAAAAATGTGGCTAAACTCGAGTCCAAGTCATCCTTTGAAAAGAGACAGGAAAAGGTATTTCATTAATTTTTATTTTAGTTTTGATTCAGTAATTTTAGTGCTTATTTCAGTTAGTTGTCAAGGCAACATTTTCATTTAGCTTTTCATGTACTATTTATATTTCATTTCTTCTGTATTTCAGTTAACAAAAATGTTTTTTTTTTTAAGTTTTAGTTGTCAATTATAAGCCTGCTTTGATGTGAATTGAAACAGATGGCAAAAAAGATTGAAGAACTGGAGAACGCTGCATTG